TTCCTTTCAACCACCCCATTTTGTTGGGAGGTGTAAGGACAAGAGGTTTCATGCAAGATACCTTCATTATTAAACATGTTTTTAATTTTAAAATTTATAAACTCAAGGTCATTATCACTCCTAACTTTCTTGATTTGAGAAGAGAATTGAGTATGAACATAAGCAAGAAAATTTTGAATACATTGCACAGTCTCATTCTTGTATTTTAACAAGTATAGCTAAGTACACCGAGAAAAGTCATCAGCAATGCTAAGAAAAATCTGTGACCATTATATGTGGGTTGCTTATATGGTCCCTAAATATCTAAATGAATCAATTAAAGCAAGAAGAGGTTTTAGAAGTACTAAAAGAGAAGGGCAGTTTTGTTTGTTTAGCACAAACACAAACCTCACATTTATTCTGAGTAGTAGTATTATTAGCTTTTATATTCGACTTTTCTAAATGCCTAAGCGTATCTAAAAGGGCATGACCTAACCTATTGTGCTATAGAACTGAATTCTATTCCTTATTTATGTAGTGATTCCTGACAGCCATAATGCTTTCTAATTTTATATCCTTCCCGAACAAGTATAACCCTTTGTTGAGTTTACCAATCTTTTAGGAGCTCCTAGTTGAGATCTCCTCCAAGGTACAAAATTCAGGTAAAAAGATATAATGCACTCTGCATTCTTAGTTAATTTTGAGACAGAAATTAGATTAAAACAACATTGTGGTGAATAATAACCATCAAGCAGAATCACATTGTTAAATAACCTCACAAATCTACTATGAGTTACAATGATTTTATCTCCGTTAGGCATTTTAATCAGTCTTAAAGGTCCAGCATATGGTCTAACAGAGTCTAACATGGTAAGACTACCAACAACATGGCAGGACGCACTAGAATCTAGTATCCAATTAGAAGTATAAATTGAAGGGGGAAGAGTATTAAGCAAACTTGACACACATTCCTCAATGTAGTCGACTGTTCCTATTGCCACCTCATTTGATTCTTTCTTCAAGAGTTGCAATATTTGATCATATTGCTCCTTTGTGAAGGATAAATAATTTATTTCTTGTGGTGAATAATAACCATCAAGCAGAATCACATTGTTAAATAACCTCACAAATCTACTATGAGTTACAATGATTTTATCTCCGTTAGGCATTTTAATCAGTCTTAAAGGTCCAGCATATGGTCTAACAGAGTCTAACATGGTAAGACTACCAACAACATGGCAGGACGCACTAGAATCTAGTATCCAATTAGAAGTATAAATTGAAGGGGGAAGAGTATTAAGCAAACTTGACACACATTCCTCAATGTAGTCGACTGTTCCTATTGCCACCTCATTTGATTCTTTCTTCAAGAGTTGCAATATTTGATCATATTGCTCCTTTGTGAAGGATAAATAATTTATTTCTTGTTGTTCCCCATCAACTTGATTGACTTGGATTTTGATTGTCCTCAGCTCTTGAAGTTGGCAAGCAATCCAATAAGATGGTAGCAATGCTTGTGACCTCCCCTCTTATAGTGAATACACTCATCTTGTGATCTTCCCTTTCCTCTTCCTCTGCTTGTCCGGCCACCTCTTACGTTTATAGTAGCAGGCTCAAAAGGGACTGTCTGTCTCTTAGAAGAGACACACCGTTGGTCCTCCTCTTGGGATATCATGGAGTAGGCATGATTAACACCGAGCAAAGGACTCATTAGGAGAATTTGGGAATGAACCCCTTAGTAATCATTATTAAGGCCCATCAGAAATTGAAATAGGCGCTGCTTTTTGACTATTTGAACATAATCCTTTGATGTTGCATATTGACAGGAAGGGAGTGGTACAAGCATACTATATTCATCCTATAATTCCTTCATCCTTGTGTAGTAGGCAAACACAGTCAATGATTCTTGCGCACTGCTTGATAGAGACTGATGAATAGAATAAATCCTTGTTCCATCAGTCTTGTGAAATATTTCTTCTAAATCCTTCCAAATTAGGTGTGTACTATCAGTAAAAATGATTCCATTTGCTATTTGCTTGTCCACTGAGTTGATGAGCCAAGAGATTACAATCATGGTACAGCGATCCCGCTGATCGAGTAACTTAGCTTCTTGGCTTTCTCGTGTACATGAGCCTGTGATGAAACCCCTTCTTCCCAAGAATCGCTAACTGAATCGCACGACTCTTGACTGTGTAGTTATCCGATTCGGTGAGGACTTGTGAGACAAGGGTTGAAGTCTAAGTGTCGGATGGATGAAGATAGAGGGGATGACTGAAGTCTAATGTTAAGGAGGATTTCAGATCATCGGCCATTGCAGAAGCTACGAACAAAGGATAAAATGCTCACACGATCAAGAGGAAACGCTTAGGGTTTCTTTCGCAGATGCTGAAAAATAGAGAGAACCCTAGAAATCTTGCGAGACTTTCTTTGCTGATCTTCAATGTTCTCATGTGATGCCGTTTCGACAGGATTGAGCGTCCTTTTGTTAGTTCATGATGTAGACAGTGTCAATCTTCTCTTCTTAGTGGAGGACAATTGTTTTCTTGGTTTATGGCTCAGACGGTGTCTTTCTTCTCTTATTGGTGGAGGGCAACGCTGTTCTTGAGCAACAATCTTTGGACTCAACTTGATTCTTAGGCTTGAATAGTATCGAACCTTGCTCTAGATACCATGTGAGGTTTTGTAGAGCCCAAACCATGAAAGAATCAAAATATTATTATTCCTTCTGAGTCAAAAAACACTTCATATAATAAGTCTATTTATATCCCATGGACCAACAGACCAACACATAACAAGCAACACAAATAATAAAATATAGCTAACAAACTAACAAACCAACACTAATTATTTCTCACATAAACCATTCAGATTTTATGATTGCCATCTATGTAATGTTCTCTTTTAGTATTGAATTTGAAGCCTGGACCCAAAAAATAAACGTATACACAAAAAAAAAAGAAATTATTTTAATCAGATATGATTTTTCAATGAGTGCTTTTCTTAACTTCTTACTATATATTTGTTATAAAGGTGCCCACAGTCTCCAACAATGTTAGTGTTCCAATGGGATTTGGATTCAGTAAAGTCTATCAGAGTGTCTTACTTTGCAGTAACAATTGTTTAATTTAAGTGATCAACTATCAGTGTCATATAATAAAACTCAAAAAGAACATCAAATTTTTGGAAAGGACAACATAATTGTTTTGGTCATAAAAATGTTTTAAATTTTTAAAAGAAAATATATTTTGTTAATTTTTAAATATTAATGAAATCTAATGACTGTAATTAAAATACTCATTAATAGAGTAAGCTTAAATCACCCATTCAATCCAAATATCATTTCAAGGCGTCCAAGAACAACAAAATTTCTGCATTTATTTTTGTCAGCTTAGGCGTTCGTCATTTAATCATACAAAAACCACATACAACAACATGCATTCAAAATTAATTTTCAGCGAGAAATTTGAATGGGCGCCTCACTTATACATGCAAGCGGTGTTGGAATATTTTACATATTATGAATTTGCATTAATTAATTATATCTAAACAGATTAATTTTTATGATCTTGTATGGATCATGATAGGTAGATCATACAAGTGAATCCAATGGACAGAGCTCCAACCTACAATTTTATAGCCACAGTTATTCCCTATATCATAATTGATTGAGTTAAGGATAATATGATATTTTATTATTTAATTAATTAATTATTAAAGTGGTTATTTGATGTGATCTATATAATACAATTAGTCGATAATTAATATATACAACATACGTTTTCCATTATCTCTATTATTTTTAAACTCTCTACAAATTATGTAGGTATAGTGGGTTGTGTATTTGCCTATACTCAAAATAATCAAAGTCTCATATTTAGTCATGAATTCTTCAGATGTGCACGTCATTTTACTCAATTTTATTAAATTTATATGAATTGGGATATAAATGTTAATAAGTGAAGGAAAAAAAACTCACGAAAAGCTGCATTTCAAAAAATGGAGCATGAATTAGAATAAAGTAATCTTTTTCCCGTCAAAAATTAAGCGATAATTTTAAATTTTGAAAATATACCCAAAAAAAAATCTTCATCTAAAACGGAAAATAATGACTTCTCCTAATGTTGTACTTGACAGGAGAGAAGAGCGAGGAGAAGATAAAAGTGAAAGAGAAAAATGATGAGGAAATAGGATTTTCTCTCCTTGGTTATGGAGAGAAAAGCAAAGATGAGAGAAAAATAACACATAAAATTCTCATGTTTTTACCTTCAACTTAAAATTTTACTTTTAAATTTATCCACCAATTTTAAAATTTTATATTTATAATATAGTTACATCTTAATAATGAACTTTTGTTAAACAAGAAGGATATTTAATTTTTAAATTAATTAAACAAATGTTAATTCTAAATTTTTATTAAAATTCTTTATATTTGGTTGTAGTTTCAAAATTTTAAGATTATTATATATTTAATAATTTAATAAATAAAACTATAAATTGGATAAAATATTTTTGTCAATATTGGATAAAATAATTTTTAATTATTTTTATTTAATCAATAACATATGATAGAAATTATTGCATATATAATATGTTAAAATATTAAATTTTATTATATATAAATATTTTTATAAATAATAAGATTATTACCGTCCATATAAAATTAATGATTTTTCTCTTCTCTTTATCTTTTCTTACCAAACTAAGCACAATAGAATAAAATTGCATCTTTTTACTTTTTTTTTTATTCAATTTCTCTCATTCTTATTTCTTATTGCGAGCCAATTCACGCTATAAAGCATACTATTCTTAGAATTTCATTTTAAAATATATAGAAAGACGGTTTAACTTGCATACCAGAGCAAGAAAGGAACAACTCATCTATTGTTTCAAGGGCCAAGTTAAATGTGCAAATTTGAGAATGAATTATAGGCAAAGATAATTCACACTGGCCAAAAACCATATGAATAATCTATCTCTAGCAGCTCATGATTCCATAATTATCCCGACATCAAAGCCCAATATCACAATTAAGGAGCATAAATCCAGAGCGCTAAAGTCTGTGCTACTCCAGAACATGAACTCCAGTTCATATTTATTCGCAAACCTGAATCACTGTGTACACTCTCTGTTTAGCTTTTATTGCTGGAAGTGACCTTTAGCTAAACAGGTTTGAGCAATGGTATGTATATTTGGATTGAGAAAAAATTGACTTGAAGGAATAGATTGTTTAAATATAATTCAACATTATCCTTTCTTTCTCCAATCCATACATAACCTTGACAGTCTTGGCGATGTTGCTGATGGATGTCTGAATCATCCTTATCCTTCAATTTATTCAGCCTCTCCTGCCTGTGTAGTTTTTTGGGTTTGAGTTAAGAAAATTTTAAGCAACATAGATAATGACATTTATGAAATTTCAATTTAAATAATAATGCTTTCTTATTAGATAATTAAAGTGAAGATTTGTTTACATGTATATATTCAATCCTCAGGCTAAAAAAATATTACTTTTTTTTTTTTTTAAATTGAACTTATAGACGATGAAGGAAAATGAACACAGAAGATGGGGAAAGCAAATAAAATAGGGGAAATAAGCATTAGCAGCAAAACTTTACAGTTAATTTGTTCAACAAAAAGGCCCAGAAATATCATTTAAAAAAAATAATTTGTTGTTCATAAAGAAAGAATTATTAAACGCAGAATTCTTACCAAGCATCGAAGAAAATTTGTTTAGAACGAACACTTTGAACAGACACGAAATCAGCAAAAAAAAAAAAACAATAAGAAGCAGATATTGTTTTTTTAGAATGAACAAGAAAGTGCAGAGGACTAGGAATCAGGTGGAGTTACAAAACCTATTATATGAGATCATCGCAACGAAAGATTAATCAAAAGAAGACGAAGAAGAGGTAATAACTTTACCGTTGTAGTGACCAGAGAGGGAAACAAGCTCCTTAAGCTTCAATGGCGATGAAGGAGGAAAACGGAGAGACGACGGAGATTGCTTCCAGGCCAACCGCACCTCTTGTTTTGCAAAGCGAAAATAAATGCGGTGTCAAAACGACGTTCTCTCTCTTTTTGGCACGTAATTTCTGATGGATTTGCCAATCAACTCCGCCCTCAACAAAAAGTGAAAACTTTAAACCCCCCCCCCCCCTTTCCCCCCCACCCAAAAATTGCTGGATATATTCTCATTTATTGATCATCGATGATAAAAATTTAATATAAAATATAACTTGAAAATTTATCAAAAAAATTTAACATATGTTGTAAAAAAATAAAATCTTATTTATGAGTCGATTGTTTAACAAAAAGTGACTTGTCAAAATTGAAATATTTTGTTAAACAATCAATTTTGAAATGAGATTTTATATTTTCACAATATACGTTAGAAATTTTTTTAAATTAGATTAGTAAATTTTTAAGTGGTGTTTTTTATGAAATAATCGATTCTCAAGTAAGGTTTTATGTTTTTACAATATACGTTAGTAATTTTCTTAAGTTGGATTAATGAATATCTAAGTGGTATTAATGAATCCCACCTCACAAATTATATTTTTTTATCCCAATTAAGAACCATGATCCTTAACTGAAATTTTAAATTGTTATGATCTTTAATTGATATTAATATTTTTAGAGGGTCATTAATTGTAATTTTTCCAGAAAAATATCCTGAAAATATGGAGATGACAATTAAGTATCACAAAATGCAATAATCATTATTTAGTCCCAAAGACTTGTCTAGCATTTTAATTTTTTTACAAAATAGCATGTTTTCCCTTGGTAATTATTTTAGAAAATGACTACTTTGATTGTGTTATATTAGCTAAATAAAATAAAAAATAACTACTTTTTTAAAAACTTGTGATTTATAAACAGGTTAGAAAAATACTACTTTTATTCTAAAAATGCTTATTTTAGTTGCACTTTATTGATAAATAAATTTGCAAAAAGGAAATAATCATTTTTCCATTTCATTTTACTTAATAACCCAATTACAATAGTCATCTTTTATAATAGTTACCAAAGACAAGTATGTCATTTTATCAAAATTCAAAATATCAAACAAGTCTTTAAGGATCAAATAAGTGTTATTAAGTGTTATTTTCATATTTTGCAGTAATTAAGTGTTATTTTCATATTTTGAGGTGTTCTTGTGTCATTTTTCTACTAAATTTTTACTTTATCACTCATGAAAAAATCATCAATGTCCTTGTGCCTCCATCGTCGAATGATGCTTTTAAGACCAAAGAATGACTATTGTCTTGCTATTTGAAGGCCCATTTCCCTCACCAGATCATGCATCTCAATATAGCCATTATGATCAAATGAAATGAGGGATCTTTCTCCAAGAACACTACTATCAATATCTGCAGAAGAGTAATGTAATTGTCTTATCATGTCCAAAGAAATATTAACTCGTTCTTCCTTAATGAAAAATGAAACGTCAAGAAACAAGTTCTGTTATCTGTCGTCCAATCCATCAAAACTCACTTTGAGAACATTAACAACATGCTTGAGTGGATCTTAATTTAGTTCATCCAAAGCACTTTCCCACCCATGCTTTCGTCTACCATAAAGAAAGCAATCCAGCACTATTAGCGCTAATGGATTTCCTTCAAAATAATTCACTATTGATTCTAATAACCCCATGAAATCTCTACATGGCTCATCTTGCTTGAATGCTTTCAAACTGAAGAGATGAAATGCATCATGAAAATCCAAACTTAGAACATGATATGTTGAAAACATAGAAGCATTTTCATGTCTCTTGAAGTGACGATAATTCTACTTCCTTTTTCAAACCAATTATACACTTCAGTTAAATCCCCATCTATTATTGAATTGTCCACATCATCAAGCATAAGAAAAAAAAATTTCACAAAAGGGGATTTTATGTCACAGATGTTAATGTCCTCATCTTTTAATTAATAATTTTTCAAGGAAATTTTTTGTAACTTATCCAATCTAATTCTTGCTAATTGACCTTTCATATTTTTAATAAAGGAAAATGCATCAAATTAAGCTTTCAGCCTTTCAACTATGGCTTTAGTAAGTGTGGCTGTACCCGCACCGCCCATACCTCATATTCTAACAATGGGGGCCTCACTTAGAAGTTTCTCGATATTGTCAATATGATGAGCAATACCAAGAAGCCCTTCAAGATGAGATGATGACTCATAGTTCAACTTGATCACTATGTCTTTCACAATCTCTTCAACAAGTTTGGATTCAGGTCCAACATAAATGTTAGTAAAAAAAAAGGCATATTTACTAGGTAGAAAGTGAAAAATTGGAACAATTATAGCAATATAGTAGAATCCTAAATAAAAGGAAATATTTATGAAGATGCTTGATAGTATTGGAATCCCACCCATATAAGCTTGTTGATTTTATTAAAGCATTAAGCAATCTAGTTGTGTTCAAACCTCTTCTTAATCTTAGCAAATCCATCTCCAAAACTCCCAGTTTGTTTCCGAATATTTGATGGATCTATGTTGTAGAAAATAGGGAGGAAAATCCTTTCATATTTATCCTTGCATTTCAAAACGTGAACAAGCTCATCCATATAGCATGTCGAAGAAGCATAATCCTTGGAGAAAAAAATGACAGATATTATTGATTGCTCTATTGTTCTCAAAAGAACTGGCGCGATTTGTTCTCCTTTTCCAAGTTTGTGATCCATAAAAGTATGACTGTTTGCATTGCGAAGTTCTCTGTACTTTGTAGAGATAACTCACAAAATTGTGGCTAGTGTCTTCCCCATGAAAGCTAAGGAATACATCGTACTGAGTAGTACAAGAAGAAACCTTAGAAGTTGAAACAACATGATCTTTAGAACTGCAAATAGAAACAAGTGTCAAGAAATGTTGGGTTATAGTAGCAGCAAATCGAACAAGAAGCTAGAATGAGATTATTTAGGAGCAGCAAGCTACCTATCATCAACAGAAACAAGTTGGCTATGACAAGGTGAAGGAGAGATGAATCTGATGGCTCTGGAAATTGATATGGCCAATACGATTATCAATAAAGCTCCTCTGAGCATTAAAGCAATGGCAGCATCCATGTGATAGCTTCCAGGAGATAATATGCTTTGGCTTCTGATTAATTCCGTAGAAAGAGAAAACAAAAGTTGGTGTTACAGGTAAAAATTAAAATTGGTATAGGCATTACGTATGCCAATGGTTAACTCTCGTTAATGGATCGATTAGATGGATGAAGCAAGTGGGATGAGAAAAGAGAAGAATTAAGGGATAGGAATAACATGGTAGAAGCTCACAAGGTGTCAAAAATGGCAGCTTCGAGACTTGCAGGACTTCGTCTTCAATTCAAACAAGTTCTTCAGATTCAGAGATTAACAAATGCCTCTCACACATCTTTGCTCATCAGTCTCATCTCCTCTTTAATTTATTCCAAAACCTTTATCCTCTTTCAGACGACCCAATGACCTCCTAAGTAATTCTCTTTTAGAAAGTGGGACTCTAGTGTGAAAGATGAAAAGAGCAGCTGAATTATAGGACTTAACAGTACAGAAAAGGATATGAAAACCTTTTCTTTTATAAGGACGTTTCCAGACATGATCTTATAGATTTAGCGTTCTTGATACGCACCAAACCATAATAATAAAGAAAAGGTCCGATGACCAAAATATTTAGACCAAAATATTCTCTTTACTATATTTACACCATATAGTAAATATAGTTGTCGGATCTCGTGTTTACATAACTTCATGTTTCATTACAAGATCTACGAGTGAAAGAAGGGTAAAACGAGCCATGTAATGATACTGTCAAATCAGCTTACACTTCTTCACAAGCACTTGAGTGGAATGATACTGATAGTGTATGGTCTAAAGTCTGGAAACTTCCAATGGCTCAAAGGGTAAGAGCTTTTGTATGGCTCATCCTAAAAGGGAAACTTCTTACAAAGGTGAGATTTAAAAGGAAAATGGCTCATGATCAAAGATGTTCAATTTGCAATGCCACGGTTGAGAACATTAATCATGTTTTCAAGGAATGCTATTTTGCAGCACCAGTTTGGAAGAAAATACTACCCACTGATATGTGTATGGACTTCTATGGATGCGGTATTAGTTCTTGACTCACCAAATGTCTTTACAATCCTCGGTTAGAAGTCTCCTGAGAGATAGGCATAAGCATCACCTGCTGGAAGCTGTGGGGCATCAAGAATAGAAGACTCTTTACTAAGGAAGTCTTCATTCTTGACACTGTTCTGTCCCAACTCAGGGCAATAGTCAATCATACTTCTACATCCTTCTCCACTTTTAGAACTTTGATGTAATGTTTGTGTTTTTTTGGCCTTTTGTTTGGTGTATTGGTTGAACAGTTCCCTTTCGAGTTAATGATATTTTCCATTTCATGCCCAAAAAAAAAAAAAGAATAAGATCTATTGCTTTAAGGGACACATCAAATGTACAAATTTGAAAATGAATCATACACAAGAAAATTCAAACTGGCCAAAACCACATGAATAATCTCTCTAGCAACTCGTAATTCCATAATTATCGCGAGAGCGTTAAAGCCTGAATCATATTCATTTACATACTTGAATCATCCATGTACACTCTGTTTAGCTTTTACTGCTGAAAATGACCTGTAGCTATAACAGGTTTAAAAAGGGGGCATTTGGATTGAGAAAAAATTGACTTGGAGGAATAGATTGTTTAGATATAATTCAACACTATCCCTTCTTTCTTCAATCCATGCAAAAACTTGACAGTCTCTTGGCGATGTTGCTGGTGGATGTTTGAATCATCCTTATCCTTCACTTTGCTCGACCTCTCGTGCCTGTTTAGTTTTTGGTTTCTACTTCTGCGGTATCTGCCTGAGACGGGGAAAATGAGAAAGACATATCATCCTCTCAGACATCAAAATCTTGTTCCATCATAGGCAAAACCCAGAAATGGCAAGTTTGAGAAAAGTTGCGTGAAAATTAGAAAGAGAAAAAAAAAAAATCTCATTCTAACAATGCCACTAATCGCCTTCAGATCACCAAATTAATGCATGACCACTTTCTACACCAGAGTTAAGAACTCGAGGATAGCAATTTTCAGA